TTAATTTTGCCTTGTAAAGGATGCTTAAGGAAATTAAGTCTCTTATTTTTCTCACACCCGTTTTGCGGGTTTGGGAATGCGGTTGCCAGGACTAACAGAACACCTGCCAAAAAAATGGGGGAGCGTGCAAAAGAGAAAGAGTTCTGCCCAGGCCAAGGGGGGGTTAGACTAGAAGACCTCTAAGGTCCCTTCCAGCTCTGTAATTCTATTTCTATTTCTATTCGGTTTTGTGAAAGGAATTGTGGGCTAGAAAGATCGGGCGGGGAAGTTGAAGTTCACTATCCTGGATGGGGAATTCTGGGAGTTGAAGTCCATGTATTGCTGACTGGGGAATTCTGGGAGTTGAAGTCCTCCCCTCTTAAAGCATGCTGGCTGGGGAATTCTGGGAGTTGAAGTCCAGGCATCCTTGCTGGGGGATTCTGGGAACTGAAGTCCAACACATGCTGAATGGGGAATTCTGGGAATTGAAGTCCAACACATACTGAATGGGGAATTCTGGGAATTGAAGTCCAACACAGGCGGAATGGGGAATTCTGGGAGTTGAAGTCCATACATGCTGGCTGGGAATTCTGGGAGTTGAAGTCCATACATCCTGACTGGGGAATTCTGGGAGTTGAAGCCCTCCCCTCTTAAAGCATGGCTGGCTGGGGAATTCTGGGAGTTGAAGTCCAGGCATCCTTGCTGGGGAATTGTGGGAATTGAAGTCCAACACATGCTGAATGGGGAATTCTGGGAATTGAAGTCCACCACAGGCGGAATGGGGAATTCTGGGAGTTGAAGTCCATACATGTTGGCTGGGAATTCTGGGAGTTGAAGTCCATACATCCTGACTGGGGAATTCTGGGAGTTGAAGCCCTCCCCTGTTAAAGCATGCTGGCTGAGGAATTATGGGGATTGAAGTCCAGGCACGATGGATGTAGGATTTGGAAAGCTAAAAGCTATGCGTGCTTACTGGGGAATTCTGGGAGTTGAGATTCAGGCATGCTAGCTAGTCAAAGTCCAGGCATGTTGGTGGGGAATTCTGGGAGTCAAAGTCCATAAAATCTAATGCATGCTTGTCTGGGGAATTCTGGGAGTTGAAGCCCACGGGTCTTAAAAGTCGCCCAGATCGAAAGACACTGATATGACGCTAGAATATGAGCCAGTCTTTTCACACTAGGGACTAGCGTTTTAAGAAAGCTGGTGTGCCTTTTAATATCCAAAGCCTATAAAAGAGGCAAATCCTTTGATAAGCTTTCTGAAAATGCTGCGGCTCTCGAAAGTTTACACTTTTTAAGAAAATGTGTGAAGAGGAGTCGGAAAAGCGGCTGCACGTGTTCTTCTGCTGTATGGTCTCCGACACGTGTCTCTCTCCCTTCCTCCAACTTCGATAAAGTTTTTCAACCAAGTCGACGTAGTTACACAGAGGAGCCGCCAGAGGGCAGCACATGCTTGCTCGAGGATGGGCGCCTCTGCAGAGAGAGACGTCAATCAAAGTGAGGGGCACTTCAAGGTGCCTTCCAGCTCTGTTATTCTGTAAGGGTCTCCTGCTTGAGCAGGGGGCTGGACTAGATGACCTCCAAGATCCCTTCCAACTCTGTTATTCTGTAAGGGTCTCCTGCTTGAGCAGGGGGCTGGACTAGATGACATCCAAAGTCCCTTCCAACTCTTATTATTCTGAAAGGATCTCCTGCTTGAGCAGGGGGTTGGAATAGATGACCTCCAAGGTCCCTTCCAACTCTTATTATTCTGTAAGGTTTTCCTGCTTGAGCAGGGGGTTGGAATAGATGACCTCCAGGGTCTCTTCCAGATCTTATTATTCTGTAAGGGTCTCCTGCTTGAACAGGGGTTGGACTAGATGACCTCCAAGAACCCTTCCAATTCTTATTATTCTGTAAGGGTCTCCTGGTTGAGCAGGGGGTTGGACTAGATGAACTCCAAGGTCTCTTCCAGATCTTATTCTGTAAGGGTCTCCTGCTTGAGCAGGGGGTTGGAATAGATGACCTACAAGATCCCTTCCAACTCTTATTCTGCAAGGGTCTCCTTCTTGAGCAGGGGGCTGGACTAGAAGACCTCCGAGGTCCCTTCCAGTTCTGTTATTTTGTTCAGGAGAGAAGGAAGAAATGGGGAGCTTCCAGCATGAACCTTTAAGTTCTGGAGACTTCAATGACCCAGAATTCCATATGCTCACTGGGGAATTCTGGGAGACGAAGTCCAGTCAGCTTACCGTTGCCGAGGTTACAAAACTCTGTTCTTTATCCACTGTGGGGTGGAGATGGGGCGGGAGCAAAGGAACAAATCACACAGTCGATGTGGTGAGGCGGTTGTATAGATGACATCGTGGGGTCCCCGGTGCTCTATATGAGCTTGCTGGCTTCCTTGCAGACATCCTGTTCCTGATTATGTTACCTAGCAGGGTCATGAAACGTCTGCAAGAAACTAACGGAGCTCAGAGAGCACCAAGGACCCCATAGACTTTTTCTCCTCCTCCTCCTCCTCCTCCTCCTCCTCCTCCTCCTCC